TAACATTAAAATCGTCTATCTTATATCTTCTCTTCGTCGTGATCGAAAATTAAATATTGATAATCACTAATCAGGTATGAAATTATGAAATACACCAAAAATCACAAAAGTCAAAGAAAAATTAAAAAAAAATATTTTTTAATACTTGAAGAAGGGTGAATGTTTCAAGTTTGAAATATTTCATACTCATAACCCTACTTGGTACACCAACTACTGTTGTATTGTAGGTAGTATAAGTAAGTATACATGTAAAATGCACATTGAATGCATAGTACATATTATTATACATACATTTGTTTACAAAAAACCGTGAAAATGCACGGAATTACAGGGTACTGAATATATATTAATATTGTTGAAAAATTATACCAAAAATTTCACATCACACAAATGAGTATAATAAATTTTTTATATTTAATTAATATTAAGTACCATCTATATTTACATTAGGTATAGGTACCAAGAAGCAGGAAAGCAATATTTTAAGTAATAGTATAGAAATCTATATTGTATGCAAGTCCGCTGATCGAATTTTTAAATTTGAGAATATTGAAGTCTTATGAGCATCGCATGAGTACATATACCGATAACCGCGGCACATTCTGTAGTGCACGATTTTTTATACATTAATTTAACGACATTCGTACCTCGTAATATTATAATATACATAGCTAGGTGGTACTACACGGTATACCTGCATCAGCTTCCTCCATACCTATATATTATTATATAATAAATATTGGAATCGGTGCGCGGAATGCGAAGACCGAACACAAATGGAAAAAAAAATGTAAGAACCTCCACAGAGGGGACTGCTCCGAGAAAAACGATAAGAGAAAAAGAGGCATAAAAATGCGGCGGTGGCTGTGGCCAGGAGCAGGAGCGAGGAGTCGCGTATCCTCGTCGTCGCGGTGGTCGCGTCGTCTCCACGGCGGCGGCGGCGGCGGCGGCGGCGGCGGCGGCGTGCACACACAGACACGCACACTCGCGCGCTCAAACGCACACGCACGCAACGACGACCGGTTGCGGCCAGCGGTATTTTACGAACGCACACGGACACACACAAGCACACGCGCGCATACGGACGCACACGCACACGTACGAAACCACACCCACGCTGCCAATCAAAAGGAGACCGGTCTCTCTCGTGACGCTATCGGCGGCGTCCGAGTGTCTGCCGCGGTGCTACCGAGCGGCGCGCCGTCACGGCAATATACGCACGCACGCGCCTCCGGCTGCACCGCCGCCGACGGCACGCGGCGCGCATCCGGGCCCGCAGGCCCACTGCTGCGGCCGCTTCTGCGAGGACCACCGATCGCCGCGTCATCCTAATAATATTAATAAAGTTGTCGACGGCCGCGTCATCCAACGTGACATTCGCCCGGAAAATGATGTACAAGAATATAATAATATTGTATATAAGGCACGGTTTAACAAAGAATGAACTGATTTTGAATATTTATACATCTATTGGTAAGAGATGTTACAATCACAAATATGGCACATGTTACAGGGTACTCTCACAAAAAATGTTCTATGTGCTCCAATCCAATAAATAATATAAAAAAAATTGTTGGGGTACAAACCCCCTCTTCCAAATCACAGCCTATAGGGCACCACCAGCACAAGAAAGATATCTAGATGTTATTCGAACTTATGCCAAACTTGTTGAAATTGTTGAGTCACCACGGACGGTATGGAATAAAAACAAATCGATAACTGATAAAGTTGACTTGGACTTTAATATTAGTCATATCATGTACACAGATGTTAGAATTTGTATGAGCGTCGGAAACAAAAAAACTGGTCTTCAGACCTTTTTCGATTTGAAATTTAATTTATGGATTCTTTGAGGAACGCTCCGTATAGTCAGATCGTAGCAGCAGCCCCCCCCCCCCTCACCATACCTGTGACAATCCCACAGGAACTCTTCTCACGGACTCAGGTCAGATCTATTATAGAACTCTCTCATTCGCTCTCACTCACTCCCTCTCTCTCTATCAATCTCTATCACTCCCTCTCTGTCACTATCTCTCTCACTCTCTTTCTTACACACACACGCACACACAGACACACACACATTCACACACTTTTTTCTCTCTCTCGTTTAGCGCGTCCAGGGCGCATTCGTACTTAATCACGCGCGTATCGTCGAGGCATTCGGAATGTACTGTTTTTTCTCCATTTCAAACTTGTTTTTCGTGTCAGCACATTTTTTTTACAATCGATCAATGTTGTAAACAAGTCGGTAACCTATTGACACTAATGTGTATGCACACACGCGCACACACGCGCGCCCGGCCCGCAGTGCGACTGGGAAACGCGGAGATTTTTTTCCTTGACGAGTGGTTACGTTTAGTAAAATCAGATTTTTTTCCTCTACGGCTCTACATATAGCGAAAGTGTACAGATTTTTTAAGAAAAAAAATTTTAAAATAAATGAAAATTATCATTCTACGTAACCTGTAATTTCCAGTTTGTATTATATTACGGAACGTCGTGTCGTTAATCATCGTGTAAACATGTTGCCGTTGACGAGAAGAGCACGTGGATCAAATCGATAAGGCGTTTGGAGTAGGTACATGTTTATTTTATATGCGTGTAGGTCCCATTATTATTTTAAGTATTTCGTAACAAATGTCTTCCGAATGCTCACGTCGAAAACGCACAAATAAATCGACGACAAGGAGGAGTAATAGTGATATCTTATCCCATTGTACTATTGTTTTATCCGATCCGACTCGTCCATAAATATTTTTCTGCGACAATAATAAACTGCACGTTTTTGTTTGGTTTGGTCAATAAAATGTTTAATGCTCTTAATAAGTCTCGATGTCACTTATACAGAGATTAATCACGAGCGAGAATGACGAATAATCGTTGAATATTTTCATTGGTATGTAAATAGTGAGTTTGTCAATCGTGACCGTGAGTGTTTCTACGGTACAGCCGTTATGAGTTATGACACATATAATTATTTATTGTTATCATCATTTCACTTTTAAATGGTTTTCGTTTCAATAATTGATTTAACCGGGTATTACTAGGTGTATAACTAAAAAAGCTTTTGAACTTAAATTAATGAAAATGATAAGTCATTGTGGAAAAATAATAAAATTCTTATTTATGTACAGATATCGAAATATTTGTAAACTTGTATATAAAAAATAGTAGCAATAAAGATATCTGTAGGAATAGAAACTAAACTATAGCCACAACATAGAATAAAAAATATATTATAAACAAAATAGTGTTGTTGTTTGAATTAACTCACACGATTGACAGGATTAAATACTAGCATATATTACAAATACGTAATACAGATACAGTATAATAATTATACTTATCTCGGTTAAGTATTCATAATATATTTTATAGCAGTTAGCAACTCAACGTGCGTTTATAATTTATATTAACATCATAGCAGCTATTGATAATAATATTATGATATTTTGTATTTATGTATATCATCAGCTTTTGAGAGGTGGTAGGCAATAATAATTTTTGTTACCCCTCCACTTAGTTTTGATAAACATATTTTATCATACAAAATACATAAAAAATTAAATCATAGTATATTAGTAAAATTGAATTACTATCTTGGTACCTTGATTATATTATATATTATATATCCCAAGATTTAAGATAACAAATAAAAATTTGACTTAAGTTATGTTACATACAAATATTTATAATGTATAATTTATATTGTTTACACTTTATACTATATAGTACATACTAGTATAGAATATATACATAATAATTAGAACATTTTTCAATGCGAAAATGGTAAATCTGTCTGTCTGTTACGTTTTGATGGTAAGATCACTGAATCGATTTTGATAAAATTTGGTATGGTGATAGCTTGAATACTAAGAAATTACATAAACTAATTTTAAAAAAAATGAAATTCGACTGCATTGATAGAAAATTGAAAAGGATGTTGTTTTATATTGTAGGTATCGTTTGAGAAGATTTTAGAAATGTATCCCCTAAAGGCGTGGAAGAAGGCAGTTTGTACGGGAAATAATGCATTTATATTAAATTTAAAACTTGGTATGATCTTCTTGTGTTTCAGTGTTTTTCAAAATTCAAACCCTTATTAATAAGCTGGTGATAGAGTTGAAGTGTTTAAGAATAATTTGAGCTATGAATATATTTTATAAATTATATAAGTAAGGATTAATAAGTTCAGTAGGCAAAGATTTCTTTTTTAATTTTACAAAAGTCCTGTTAATTTGAGTGGAGTGGTTTGGCATAATGGCATATATTTGTTTTTTTGTTTCTAAAACAACATGGTCATCTTTTTATAAATTTGTGGGTAGTTGTACACTTGTACAGCTTTCTTACTCATTTTCGCTCATTACTGGACATGCGAGCAAAGCTGTGAAAAATAATAAGTATTATTATGGGATTATAAGATTATTATACAAGATACGCCAAGAAAAATTGTATAAACATTTAAATGTTATTTCAATTTTCGTAAAAATTATACAAGTGGGATATGGGTGGAGCAAAACAAAATATAGATTGCCCCCCCCCCCCTTGGAATAGTTTTCACCCTATTAGTGTATAGTGTCATCGCCTATGCTCATAATGCATATGCCGTAAAACAATGAAATAATTTAAATATCGGAAAACAATAAAGCGACCATAAATATATATATATTTATATATAGTTCGGGTGACTGCAAGGATTCGCGCAAAAGCCGACGACTCGGTGGCGTCATCGGGTGCGTGGGCGAGGGCGAGGAATCGTCGAGACACACTATACATATAATATTTTTTTTTTAAGGGGACAGCGATCAGGGGGATGGCGTGCGTGGAGGGGAGGGTGTCGGTATATAGGTGGTCACGCCATCCCCTCTGCTGCCGCCGCCCATTCGGCCGCCCGCCCGCTCGTGTCCGCCGGCCGTCGTCGCGTGGCCACGGCGGGACTCGGTGGGAGCTGTCTTATGCCGCCAACCCGGCCGGCCGGCCAGCCGTGCCGGCAACCGCACCAACGTTCGTCATCAGTTCACGGGCCACTCTCGAACCGCGCGGTACTGCTCTCACTCTCGCCGCAGTCTCTCGCCGTGCGTCGGGCGCCACACGACGACGGAAACACGTTCGCGAACGGGCTTCATAACGTTCACACAGTTATTGCGATTTTATTATAGAATTTTTTTTTTTGGAGGTTCGAAAGTTCCGTCACGCCAACAATATAATAATAATAATAATAATAATAATTGTAATAGTTATTATCATGAAGTCTTGTTCGTTTTGACCGCGGAATACACCTTACGCGATTACCTCTGATATGCATCAATAATAGTACACTTTATTATTACAATATTATTGTTCCGTCGAATACACCGAAAATAAAAACTTTCGATATCGGTTACGTTTTATTAGTATTGTTGTTGTTGTTGTTGTTTTTTTTTTTATGAAATTTGCGATTGATTTCGTGGTGTGCCGCTTTCTGCGCCGTGCCGAGATAGTTGATATTTAGTACGACGAACGAATACGCCGGCCATATTTGTCGGCATGAAAACCGACAAAGACCGTGTCACAGGTACGTGTCGTGTGCTCTACTTAACCTATTACCTGCGAGCTTTTCGTAAAAAAAAATTAAGTCAAAAATACCACGTGTAACGGCGGTTCCGTGTCTGTAGGCTCCACGATGTCTGGGGGGCCCTCGACGATCAATTCTAGTCGTTATCGCAGTTAATCGCGTGAGAGGTGTATGTAACATAATAATATCATATTACTGTGAGAAAAAAACACAAAAATAATTGCGTCGTTATCAACTGTCTGTGATAATTTATTTTAGTTTTTGTCGTTTAGTTTTTTCCTTCCACCGCGATCGGTTTTTCTTATAGGTGATGAACAAAAGCGCGAATAAATGTAAATAAGTGGTAGTAGTTATTATAGCGTAAAGCGTACACTTCATGTAATATAATCAGAAAGTATAATAATAGACTGTTATGAGCTCGATGGACCGAAAAGCAATGAAACCCGTACCCATGTCGCGAAAGTTTCAATGTGTAAATTATCAATCATCGTCAGCGCTCGGCGTGTTTGTGAATCGACCTGTAAACAATACAGAAAATATTATTAAAAACACGTTATTTCGTCAACTTTTGTACGCCTAATACACCTGTACACTGTATCACGATTTACACCGCACGTATCATTCCTCGGTATAGGCACATGTAACGATAACAACCTGTTCCAAAATGCCGTTAATCTAACCAATGGCTGTGACCTTTCTCTTTCGCGGTGGTAATGGATTTTTTTACTTTGCGATTCCGTATTACACCCATTGTCACTTTTCGAAAGGTCATCTGTCCACCTTGAAACCGTTCGTAGATATCTCGTGTTGTAAGACGTTTACCGCATATAGGATCATAATAATATTATGTACCTACGATATATTATGTAGGTACATATAAATATGAATGCACAATTTTTTTATTTCATCGATCAAAAAATTCATTGACCATATACAGCGTGACTAATATAAAATACAATTTAACCTAGAAAAACAGTAATCAATTGAAAACGAAGATAATTTTATATATTATACGCTATGTGTTTGCATAATCTGTATTTCATGTGCGTAATATTTCAGTATTTGTACAATGAACTATATACCTAATTGTTGAAATCGTATTATGATTTCAGACGTTTGCCATCGTGCGCGTGTACCCGCTCGATTAATTCGAAATAATAAGCACTGCACAGTGTGGCAATAAAATACGTTGAAATTGTCTAAACAATTAAAAAATAACATAGTTGTTTAATAAAAATAATAGTGGACATAAAAAGCTGAATAAGTTAAATTTTTTTTTATTAAGTATTATTTTTATTTGAATATTTGGTTTTTCTATTTTAAATAAAAATATTAATTTTTCGATACAGCAACGTTCATTATAAAATACACAATAAATTATTGTATTAGAGATATCTTATTATTATGATGCTAAATTGCAGTTATTTATTCACTGTTATCCTCGCTGTTATCAAACTTCAAGATATTTCATGTTTTTTTTTCAATTTGTTAATATTGAATGTGTTTTATAAATATAAAATTAAGGGTTTATGATAGATATTGGAAATTATCCCCAAAAAAATATATTTTTGTATATATTTCGAATGAATCGAACAATTTATAGTTAAATTATATTTTCAACACCATAACGTGGACATGTAGTATACCGTACTACCACCATCCAGTATTTAATTAAATATTCATGAAAACAAAATGTTTAGACTATTTGAACTGCTGAAATGACCTGTTTGTAAAATTAAATTCAATAATAAGGTAGGTACATGTAGTTAGTTATATCTATGAGCAAATACGCCAATTATTTGTGGCCAGTCGAATTAAATCACCTAAACCATTGTTTGTTAGTTAATCGTTATTCTAACTTTATATTTGTATTCGAAGAATGAAGCAATAATACTCAAACGTATAAGTTTGTAAATTCAGGCATTTAGCTCTACAGACATCGGGGTGACAGGGTGTGATCTTCAGACATTTTCTCAGAACCTTATGTGAATACGTTTATGAAAATAACAATATAATTGAACACAGCACTTAAAGAATATAAAAAATATATATGGATTAGCTTTGTAGAATACTAATTACAAACGTTTTTAGACATCATAAAATGAATGACACAAAAGAAAACTATTATCAATGAAGCATAAAATCGCAATGATTGTCACGTGCTGCACTTTTTTTCGTTGTCTTCGTATTTCTTTACTCGTGAAGATTGTAAATTTAACTTTGATATTATAAGCCTTTTACGGTAGCCGGTCAATTAAATACAGGTTTCATTTTCACCAGTACGTGTATTGAGTACTATATCGAATAATACACATCCAAAAAATAATTGCACCGCACAAGTTCAAATAATTAAAAACAACAATTATTATTAATTATACGTACGTCTATAGTTAGTAGTTAATTTAAAGTAAAATTCAGGAATACATATTGTAAATAAAACTTATTACGATTCCGCGAAAAATTATTTAGTCTTTGACCTCTCGATGACTAATCTCTGCATTCTGCGGTATTGTTTTTTAAATTTTATTCCGGTTTGATTATAATAATTATAAGGAATAATAATAATTTTATTAAAGTTTATATATTTAACAAGATTCTTGATCAATGTTTTTTTTTATTAGATAAGTTCATTAGATGATCATTTAAAATATGTAAATATCTCCTTATTAAAAATTATAATTCAATAATTTTATAAATTGGTTATTGATATTATATTATATTTTACTTTTCCTTTAAACAAATTAAATACGATTAATGTGATAAAATTGAAAATTCCAACTGAAAATTATTTTAAGTATATGATTACCGATATGATTGGTCACACTAAAAATTGTCAGCCAATGCCCCAGATACAGAGGTTAATCTACATAAAAAACAACTTATTTTCAGTTATTTGATCGTCAATCGATTGAAAAAATGTATTCGTTTTCTTTCATAACACCAATTACAATTTACGATTTATATTTTGATTCGTCTTTTTTATATAAGTACCTATTTATAAATGTAATAAAAATTTAAAAATAAAAACATTATATTAAATAAAATTTATTATTTATATTTAAATAAAAAAATATAATTATTTAAACTATACATATAGTAATTTTTTTATACTTATGTACATATAATATATATATTTTACAATTTATTTTAAGAATATCAGATGGTTTGAGGCTTATAGTAGAATATTAAACAGTATTAAATTTCGATACTTAATACTTCATATATTTAGTCGCTTATATTTTTTTTTAACACACATATTGGAAGAAATATGTCTAGTTAAACATTATGATAGTTTTAATTCTATGTATGTACTACTACTTCGTATGATAAATTGTATAATATTCGAAAAATACCCCTTGAATATATGTTGCCCGGATCATGAATAGAATCGATCTAGGTATTCATTATGGTTTTCAAGTTTAAATTTCTTATTAAAATGATTATGTGTAAAGGTTTTTAAAATGTATTAAATATTGTCAGAATGAAATATTATTGAATAGATACTTAAAGTTATAAAATTTCTGAATTTGTACTGTTTAAAAAAAATGTTTAAACCGATTTAATTTTGAAATAGTTAAAAATTAATAAATATAATATAGTATTTATTGAAAACAAAAATTCCAATAATATGCTACACAATATTCACACTTACAGCCTCTCTTTAAAGTGAATATAGTTTCAATAATAATTAGGAACTTATATATTTTATTGTAATGTTTTGATGGGTAGGGATCTATACCGACTTAAACATGACCGATTGCATATACTCACACACATAACAACGATAATTAAATCGGAGCTAATAAAGATTATAATTATACGTAATATTATTATTATCGTAGTGTGGCAAATGCGCTGATTAATGTTTTATAGGCACGTGTCCAGCGTCTGATACAATCATATTCGGCTAATTGATCCGGCCAATATAATTTTGTTTACCCGCCCGAACATATAACATATTATAACATCGCCTAAGCATAAAAACAAATTAACGATGTGTTTATTGATTCGCAGGTGTTTGATCGACAATGATAAGCGGTGTGCTGTTGATGGTGGCTGTGATATCAGGCATAGTGTGCGGCGAAACGCCGAGACCGTCGGGCGCTAGAGCCGCGTTCAAGGACGCCGGCCAGGCGGAAAGGCACTTGCTGGCCGCGCTGGGCATGAAGCGCCGACCGGTGGTGGACAAGTCCAAAGTGGAGATACCAGCCGCCATGCTGGAGCTTTACAATATGCAAATGTCGTACGAATTCGACACAACGGCCTTACCGTTGCCGGGACATCATGTCAAGTCCGCGAATACCGCCCGGACGTACTTACATAGAGGTAAGTTCGATTTTAATGTATAAATACATACCATAATATACCACAATAGACCTATACGTTACATACTATAGAATACTACACGTCATTGTCGCTTAGACAGGTAGGTACACCGAGTGAATTGTATGCAACAGTTTCGATGTGTTTTTTTAAAACACAATATAATACATGGAAATAAATAATAATAATATATATTATATTATGGCTCGATGCGCGCAACCTATTTGCATATAGAGATTTGATTTCTTGACAAATAGGTAACTATTTCATTAAATTTATCAATTATATATTCCAGCCTTTAAAACTGCTAATCGTACAAACTACAAACTGCACAGGAAAAAAACCCGTTATTGACATTTTCTATTAGTTCAACATTCTATTAAAATACATACAAGGTGTTGGTACATTAGTTATTTATTTGGTAGAAAATGATGAGTCGTATTTATATTTGCAATTTTATCAGTAGTTTGTTTTTGGAATTTTACTGAGAGTTATCGGGATAACAGTAATGTAGATGATTTCAGAATATTTTTAGGTGATCGATAATATTATGATGAACCAAAATGAAGGATTATATATCTATATGACCAAAAATTCCGAGTATTTCAATCGATATAATAATATATTACCTATATTATTTTTTTCTCAATATATTTTAGGTTTTTTGATAAACCAGTTTAACGTTTTAAATTTAAATGTTTAGTTTATTCGTTATAATTTACATTTAAATTGGAGATTCTTCCAACTTAAATACAAATTAATGTAAGAAAATAAGCAACTGTTTTATTAAGCGTCAGCCAAAAAAAAAAAAACGCTTTTACAGTTATACATATTTAAAAATATATTTACTCTGTGATTACCTATTGTATTATGTAGCCTTAATTTAATTTGAAAGTGCTTAAACGCATACATTATAATATTTAACAACTATTAAACAATTTAACAATTATTAATGTACCTAAATAATATTGAAATGTATCATGTTTGAAATATCAAATAAGATACTAAACAAAATTTAACTCTGAATCATTTTAATAAATAATATAAAAAAGATAAAATTATTACTTTCCTATGGAACATCATCTTGTTCTCGAACATCCCATCAGCATTCATTAGTAAAACAATAGTAAGCTAAAGTGTATTAAACAAAAGGCTTAAAATTTTCTTGGCTTATTCTGGAAAATAACATTTAAATTATTGCTCATAAATCATAATACCGATCAGTGAGACTGTTTATTAAATTACGCGTAACATATTACGTTGTATTTTATCAGTCAAGGTACCGTGGATTAAAATACTTTTCGGGACTGCTGTCGTTTTTCTATTCATAAAATTAATTCTCAATTTTAGGTGGTTCTTATAAAATATTTAATTAACTGGAATACAGGCAATCATCCAACAACAAATTACATACATTTTGTGAACTATATCTACAGTTAAGTGTTATACTGATAACAATTTTTCCACTTGCAGTTCTGGTTTAAAATAGATTTTGTTTAAAAGCATGAAGTTAAATTATGATGCAGCACATACAGAAAGTTATAAATTATACGAATTATTTTATGATGTTGTAATAAAATTAAACAAAAAAAATTTTAAATATATTTTATATTGATTAAAAAATGTATATGATTTAGAGCAGATTTTTTTATCTCTGGTTTAGTGTTTTTTTTAAACAGTTTACGCTGGCGAGTAAAAACTAAGTCATATTTAAGTTTTAAGCATTATAATCTTACCTACAACTTACAAGTAAAGATTTGTGTTTTGACTTTTTATAGAGAGGTGCTTTTCTCAATAATATAACATTTTATAGCGTATGTTTGGAAATCGATCCAAATGGCCTGGTATATTTAATTTAACTTAATGTGTAATGTTTATAATTTTATTTAATACCTGGAAACCATTTTTGATAAATATACATGACATGTGTATGATTTTCAATTTCATAAGATATCAGTCTGTATATGAAATGATATTTTTGACCTAAAAATACACAATATTATATAATATGATACTTAATATTATGTGACCTACAATGATACAAATTAAGTATAATTAAAACGCTTTGCTTTTTTTTGAATGTTTATAATTTGTGTCCATAATAAATAAATCATGACATTATATATATATGTGTGTGTTTAGGAAGAAAACTAAACTGCATATGGCCTTAGTCGCTATTTAAAATAAATATAAAACATTTTATGTGCAGTGTAATGTACACAGCAATTCAAGTTTACCCCAGGGTAAATTAATATTTATTACGAATAAAAAAGAAACATTTTATATTTATTTTACATTTAATTTTAAATTTAATATAATTTAATAGGTTATTTATTATTAAATTATAAATATATAAAACAATTCAGAGTTTAAATAATTACAAAACATATACTTTTAGCATTAAATTGATCAATTCGCTGACTCTAAAAATAAACTTTTCTAAATTCATAAATAGGTTTGTTATTTTATAAATAAAAAAAACGTATACGTTTCTGTATTGAATATTCGTCATAATATAATATATCGTTCAGTAAACTATGTTTTAGGTGGTTTGATGTCTCTTATAAAAAGTCTATGAATGAAAAAAAACGTTATGGCTAATTGTATAGCTGTATTGTTTGAATAGTTAAAAACGTTTGATTTCTCTTGTAAATTTGCATTAGACCCATGGAGTTGCATAAACAACATACAAAAATTACTTGATACACGAGGAAATTATTTAAATTTAAGATTAGTGGATTGGTTGAGATGTACGCTGTTGAGATGTATTAAAATGACAAAAATATTTAAAAAATATTATGTCTTCTTTTGAAAATATTGGTTCGTAATAATTTAAAATTATGTAAAAATAAATTGTTTAACGTTTATTTTTAAAAGAATCACCTTGTATAGTATAGTTATAATACTATAGTATTTTGTAATATGCTTAACCTAAAAGTGTACTTTTAATACACTTCATGTTTATTAATAAGATATAAATATTATTGTATAACATAATGGTAAGTACTTCTCAATATTTCTTTATCTGTCAAATTAAAAGTTGACATAATACGATTTGAATAAGGTTTAAAAAAAAATTATGCCAATAAATGGTATATTTACTAATCAGCTATATCACCTAAGCTCAAGGTTATAATGTATGTCCAACATTGATGAATAAAACATTGTCATATAAATTTATGTAATTAATATTGTCTAAGTATGTAATTTAACAATACCTATTATAATTACAATACGCTATAGTATTTTGACTAAATTATACTGACAGCCTATGTATAGGTACATTGATTGATATCGTTATGTACGGATCTTGAATATAATATTAGAAGATACATATTATGTGATTTATTACACTTTTATTACATTGCATAGGTAATTAATATGTATTGTTATAAACTTATAACGAAAGTAACTAATGCAGTTCTATGTCCGCTGCATAAAAAACCACATGCAGACGACAATATTTAAGCTAAATAACTATTGCGATTGTAATATAACTGTATTTATAACGAGCATGAGTCCAAATCATTGATTAGACATTAACATGCAAGCGGCTAGAAATAGAAGGCTATTGACACGCACGTATATGGTGGGAAAATGTGTGCAAACACGCGAAATCCCTCCGAACACAGGACAAAAATAATTGGGTCGAGGTATTGGAACTACTTCAATATGTCGATAGTAATTTTGCCCATTTTTTGAAAATATAATTTATTTAATAGAAATAATATTATATAGTTCTATAATTTGCTGTAGATAAAACTAATCTAATTAAATATGCCTATTCAAAAAAGTTAATATTTAAAAAAAAGACCTAAGCATGAATATATTCGAACTTAAATATTTTTCACTAGTAACATATTATATGGAATTGTAAAATATATAACGTATACAACATTGATTGTACCACATAAAATTTAATTTTTCGATACGAAATTAATTCATAATACGTACCAAAGTTATACAATTTCTAGTGGTTTTAATGCTAGAAGAATAGTTGGTATTTTTATTTGCAAACTACGAATACAATTTTTTAGTTCGTTTTTCTAGAATTATAAATTAATAACAATTTATACAATGTGCATTTGGTTAATACTGGCTTTGGTCAGTTGATGAATGACGACGACCAAACTGTTCAACAGCAATATATCTAATACTTATTAAATTCCATACATATTTGAATTATGAGTCATGTACCTACCTAAAAATGCTAAAATATGTTTTATTACTATTAATAAATAAATTCTGCATAAGTATATTAGTTATAACTAATTAACATTTAAATTTTAAATTTTATTCCATAGCCATATCTAAGCTGTATAAATATATAATATATTATAATATTTATGTGTTGGCATTAATGTATTGAATAACTTGGTATTTTATCAAATAACAGACAACTCAAGTTAATATTAGAATTTTAACTAGTTCTATTATAAATTAAATATTGTAGTGTAATGTTTTTAGTTAATTTAGTTGTTAATGTGGAAAATAGTTATGTGATTAGTATAAACATTTTATTTATTTAATATTAAATTTGTCAAACAAAATTATAAAAAATATTTTTTACATTCATATCATTGTACTTCTATTATTATTATTCATTTCAAGTATGTATTTGTACCAAGTTCTACTTAAATTATCATTGTGTACTAATTAATAATACCTATACCTTACTATAACACCATTGGCCTAATTAATTAATTAATTAGTCTATTTTGTTTAAAGTCTTAAACCCATTTTGTCATCTAATCTTAATGATAAGTTATGAAACATTTTAACATAACAATCTAATTAACATCTAAAATCAAACTATATTTTAAATGTATTTAGATAAACCATCTAGGTTTTCTATTATTCTCAAATTGTCGGTAAATAATATTGCTACTCTTGCACGCTATATTATTATGATTTTACGACATCTTAAAAATTCGATCGTCATAATTTGATGTGATTATTATGTTAGATATAATTTTATACACGTGCACTTCTAAATTTATGTG